GCCGCACGTGCGGAGTCGTCTGAAGCGGTTCTCACTCAGAGTTGTAACAGAAAGTTTAAGAACATCAAGAGCGTTGAAGACGTGGCTTTGGATCTACAGTGAATGGAAAGCAAATCTGCAAAGGCTATTGTTTGCTGGCGATGAAGATCTTTATTAGATGAACACCGCGTGTGCTGTCTACGGTTCAACAGGTATAAATAGGCTACATTCGATTACAGTACACGATACCACTATGACATTACATCACGTTTGTTGTACGTGTAACTTATACATTAAATACAATGGATAATTTTTACATTAAATAAGCTGTCACAGAGTATGAAATGAATACCCTCCAAACCCGCATTAGCTCTGTTCCAGGATGAATGCCTTCACCTAGACACAATTAATATTGATATTTCCACAATATTTACGCTTGCAGAAATATACATTTGTTTACATTTTGCAGAACAGACGGAAGAAGATCCATCAATGTGCATTTGGTTCGTTATGTTAAGATGTTCGGTAACTTATGGCGCTTTTCCACTGCATGGTACGGCACGGTACGGTTCACTTTTGGGGGGTTTTCCACTGGGTACAGTACCTGGTACTTTTTTTAGTACCACTTCGGTTGGGGTTCCAAGTGAACCGTACCGTTACCAAAACGTGACGTGTAAACTCTGCTGATCACGGATTGGCCGGAGAGAATCGTCACTACCTGCGTCACTGAACTTGCGACACAAACACAAAAGAACCGCTAGATTTAAATCAGCACAGCCAGCGAAGGATCGAATGCAACTGTTTTGAACGAGCGCACCTTTTTTTAACAACCAAAAAGTTTTGTTGTCTGTTGCGGAAGTACAGACGTTCCTCTGTTGATAGCAGAGGAGCGGATCCAGCGAGAGCTTGATGGGGCGACGCGGAATGAAAAAGTTGTCGTGGAAGTAGGTGGTAGTAGAGGCGGCGCAACTATAACGACATGTGAATAATCCCGCCCACTCTAAAGCGGTACTGAACTGCAGTGGAGACGCAAACCGTGCCGAGCCGAACCATGCCGTGCCGTACTGAGCCGTACCGAGCCGAGTCGTACCACGCAGTGGAAAAGCGCCATTAGCGGTGATGTGAGGAGTTTTCACTCTTCTGCGTGTCAGAGGTTATTTATACATATATAATACATAATTAATATACTTTAAAATATAATTTAATTCAGTGATGCAAATCAGAATCAGAATGATAGTAAATCCAACATATTGGAATGATTTCTGAAGGATTATGTGACACTGAAGACTGGCGTAAAGGCTGATGAAAAAATAAAAAAATAAAAACATTTATATATATATATACACATAACATAAATTTTATCTATATATCTAAATAAAAATAGACTATAGATATACAGTATATGATCCAAAGTAACTAGTAACTAACTACTTGAGTAGTTTTTTTTATCCGATACTTTTTTACTCTTACTCAAGTAACTATTCAGACTATTACTTTTAGTTTTACTTGAGTAAATATTTCTATAAGTACTTTTACTTTTACTTGAGTACAGTTTTTGGGTACTCTACCCACCTCTGATCATAATGTAATTCAGCTCCAGACCCAGAAATATAACATTCTGGATACGGTTGCTCATTTACGCTTAAAGAAGATTAAGGAAAACAGTCTGACACCGTGGTATAATGAGCACACTCGCTCCCTAAAGAGAGCAGCCCGGAAAATGGAGCGCAGCTGGAGGAAAACAAAACTAGAGGTATTTCGTATTGCTTGGCGGGAAAGTACGCTATCCTACAGAAAAGCATTAAAAACTGCTAGATCTGATTACTTTTAATCTCTTTTAGAAGAAAACAGACATAACCTCAGGTATTTATTCAATACAGTGGCTAAACTAACGAAAAATAAAGCATCAACAGGTGTTGACATTTCCCAACAGCACAGCAGTAATGACTTTATGAACTACTTTACATCTAAGATCGATACTATTAGAGATAAAATTGTAACCATGCAGCCGTCAGCTATAGTATCGCATCAGATAGCTTGCTATAGATCGCCTGAGGAACAATTCCACTCATTCTCTACTATAGGAGAGGAAGATTTGTATAAACTTGTTAAATCATCTAAACCAACAACATGTTAGACCCTATTCCATCTAAGCTCCTAAAAGAGGAAGAGGTGCTTCCAGAAGTCATAGATCCTCTTCTGACTATTATTAATTCATCACTGTCATTAGGATATGTCCCAAAACCTTCAAACTGGCTGTTATTAAGCCTCTCATCAAAAAAACACAACTTGAGCCCAAAGAACTAGTTAATTACAGACCGATCTCGAATCTCCCTTTTCTGTCCAAGATACTAGAAAAGGTAGTATCCTCACAATTATATTCCTTCTTAGAGAAAAATGGTATCTGTGAGGATTTCCAGTCAGGATTTAGACCGTATCATAGTACTGAGACTGCTCTCATTAGAGTTACAAATGACCTCTCATCATCTGATCGTGGTTGTATCTCTCTATTAGTGCTTTACTTGTTACCCTTGGGAGATATCATCAGGAAACACTGTGTTAGCTTTCACTGTTATGCTGATGATACTCAGCTCTATATAACTTCGCGGCCCTGTGAAACATACCAATTTGAAAAACTAACGGAATGCATAGTCGATATAAAAAACTGGATGACGAGTAATTTCTTACTGCTAAATTATGAAAAAACAGGTGTTAATTATCGGGCCTAAAAACTCTGCATGTAATAACCTAGAACACTGTCTAAGACTCGATGGCTGCTCGTCAATTCTTCGTCATCAGTTAGGAACCTAGGTGTGCTTTTGATAGCAATCTTTCCTTTGAAAGCCACGTTTCTAGCATTTGTAAAACTGCATTTTTCCATCTCAAAAATATATCTAAATTACGACCTATGCTCTCAATGTCAAATGCAGAAATGTTAATCCATGTGTTCATGACCTCAAGGTTAGAATATTGTTGTTACGGGGCTGATGAGACGTGAGACATGCGGCTCCATTTGCAAGCTTTTATTTAAGACATGGTCATAAACAGGCATAGGTCAAACATTGGCAAACTGGTATGTAGAAGACAAGGGCAGTCCGGTAAACAAGCGAGGGTCAGTCGACGACGAACATAATCCAACAGGGCGAGGCTAGAGAGAAAGGTCCAGGCAGGGGCAAACAGTATCCGAACAGGGCAAGATGAGAGAGGTAATCCAAAGTACACAGGCAATGATCAGAAGACGAGGAAACAGACAAGGCAAGACTAAGCTAAGGCTAGAAAACTAAAGTAGGCTCCGTAAGGTAGCCATCAGCTATAGCAGTGATACACGCTAAACAATACTCGGCGATCTGAGCAGGAACTGAGTGAGTGTTATGTAATGTGTGTGTGATTGGTTCCAGGTGAGCGTGTGATTGGTTACAAGTGAGCATGTGATTAGTGAAATGGCAGATGGGAAATGTAGTCCAGGGTATAGTGTAACAGTCTGTGTAGTGTGAGAGTCCATGTAGTGAGCGGGTGACCTCTGGTGGTGAGTGAATGGAAGTTCATAGGCCGGATTCGTGACAATTGTAATGCTTTATTGGGTGGTTGTTCTGCACGCTTAATAAACAAACTACAGCTGGTCCAAAATGCAGCAGCTAGAGTTCTTACTAGAAGCAGGAAGTATGACCATATTAGCCCGGTTCTGTCAACACTGCACTGGCTACCTATTAAACATCGTATAGATTTTAAAATCTTGCTTATTACTTATAAAGCCCTGAATGGTTTAGCACCTCAGTATTTGAACGAGCTCTTGTTACATTATAGTCCTCCACGTCCGCTGCGTTCTCAAAACTCTGGCCATTTGATAATACCTAGAATATCAAAATCAACTGCAGGCGGCAGATCCTTTTCCTATTTAGTGCCAAAACTCTGGAATAACCTACCTAACATTGTTCGGGAGGCAGACACACTTCGTCAATTTAAATCTAGATTAAAGACCCATCTCTTTAACCTGGCCTAAGCATAACACACTCGCTGCTGTTCTGGGATCTCTTTCTCGAATCCACACCTGGAGTTCAGGGGACAGCATTCTAAGATATTGCTCCAGAATGATGATTTCACTCACCTCCTCCACAGTTTTCCTCTTAGGCTGGATACACTTTCCAAAGAGTTCTTTGAGCCGATTGTAAAGCTCCTTTGGACTCTCAGTTGGATCTACTGTTAAGGAACGGAACTTTTGTCGATAAGTTTCAGCACTGACATCATATTTCTTTAAAATAGCATACTTCACTTTATCCAGAATTGATTCTATGTAGGCCACACTGGGTTAACACCATGCTTTTCCAGGATTGTTTTCCCCCACGCCACGCCCCCAGCTATGACACGACACCGACCAAGCCAATTAGTTGGTTGAACGTTTCCTCAGTTTTCTTGCATTGACCGTCTGAAGCAATGCTGTGTGAATCATCAGCTGTGAAGTCAGGGTTTATATTAAATAATACAGTTGTTTCAGACCTGAAAAAAGCAACTGTTTTAACCCAGATAGACTGAATTTTCAAATCGCAGTCATGAAGACATTAGACTTTGTAAAAATGGCCACATTTTTTATTAAAAGCAACAAACGGATCACAGATGTTTCAAAATGAGCAGTGGACGATGGATGACAGATAAACGATTGCTGCAAACTTTGCTTTAATGTAATGAGAATGGAATCCGAGTGAGACGGAGGCTCTAACCATTAGGCCACGACTGCCCCTGAATGCCTTTCATAGATGCCAAGTCCAGAAAAAAAAAATGCTTAGACTTCTTTTTATGAGCAAAAATGCATAAAGGACCATTTACTCTAAGAATGAGAAAGCAAAGCAAAATCAACAGCAAAGGAGCCCGTTCATAGGAATGCATTGTTTCAGCTCATATGCTGTGGTGAACGTGTGCTCTGGGTGAAAACGGGCCTTACGAGTGTGAATCCATACAGTCTGTTAGAGGACACGTCTGGCAGATGTAGTAAATCACTGATACATAAAGTAATCAGTCAGATTCATTTATTCAGATTAAAATATTTACACTGACAAACTGAATATTCAGCAGGAATCAAACAATTTACAATAATAATAATCACCAAACAGCTAAATTAATCTTACAAGAACCGGAACATGTTCATTTACTGCTCAATGTTTGTTTATGCTTCTGGAAGTTCTGGAAATACGTGTTAGAACGGTCTTTATACTCTGGCAGAGCTTTAAAAAACCCTCATTAAAAAACAAATTCTAAAACTAAATAAACTGAAAACTGTGCTGTGGCTTCTTCACGGTGTCCAAACGACAAACATGAGAAAGTCAATCTTTATCACTGAAAAAATGTGAGCAGAATAAAGCTGGTGGAAGATCCAGAGCGTGTTTGTGAGGGTCAGTTCAGCCAGCTACTGTTGAGCTGAGTCTGATTCTTGATGCTGGTGTCCATCTTCAGCACTTCTCTGACGGCCATCGTGGCGTAGGTGGAGGACGGCAGAGAAAACTCCATCTTCAGGGCCCGATACTGCCCTTCTGCACACACACATATATACACATACATATATATATATATATATATATATATATACACACACACATACAGAACTATAAAAATCTTTAGTCCACTGTCTGAAAACACCCTACAATCTCTAGCATTTACAATTTTTATCCAACAAGCCAGCTGACTTCTTAGGGTGCGTTCACACTGAAAGCGATTTGGAGTGACAAAACAACTGGAAGTCTTTATTTTCAATGAGAGACGGTGATTTGAGGTGACATGACCGGCAGACACCGTTGGGGATACAACAAGGTTAAGAAAAGTTCAATTTTATGTGATGCAGTGACTTCCAATGCATTTAAATGTTCAATTTTATTAAGACTGAATCAGTAATTCATCTCTTAAAATGTCAAGTAAATGTTTTAGTTTAATAGATAATAACCATATATATACACACTCACACATACAGTACTGTAAAAGTCTTAAGGCCATTAGTATTTTCACCAACAAAAAAAAATGGTTTTAAGCCAGCTATTTCTATCTTTTGCTGTAGTGTGTCAGTATTAATCAGTTTACATTTCCAAACATTGCTTTTCCCATTTATTGTAATAATGCAGTGAGATTTTTGTCTGTTTAGGAGTCTCGACAGCAGCCAGTGCTACACATAGAAACGGAGACAGACTAAATCCAGAAGAACTGTGGTGACGAATCCGAGATGCTTGAAGAAGCCTTCCTGCAAAGCTACAGTACTGTGAGAAGTTTTAGGCACTTGTGTAAAAATGCTGTAAAGTGTGGATGCTGTCAAAAATAATGTCATAAATAGATTTTATTTGTCAATTAACTTCTATTAACTAAATCAAATCATCATTTAGTGTGGCCATCCTTTGTGTTTAAAACAGCTTTTGTCCTCTGTGAACTTGCACATAGTTTTTCAGGTAGCTTTGCAGGAAGGTTTCTTGAAGTGTTTTGGAGTCGTCGCCACAGTTCTTCTGGATTTAGTCTGCCTCAGTTTTTTCTGATTCTTCATGAAATCAGATCTCTGTGTGCAGCCCTGGCTGTTGTCAGACTCCTTGAGCAAACAAAAATCTCACTGCATTATTACAATTAATGGCAATACCAATGTTTGGAAATGTAAACTGATATTTCCTACCGACACTACAGCAAAAGATAGAAATAACTGACTTAAAATAATTTTTTTTTGTTGTTGGTGAAAATACTTACGGCCTAAGACTTTTGCACAGTACTAATATATATATATATATATACATACATACATACATATATACATATATACACATACATACATAAAATGTTATATATATATATATATATAGATATATATATATTAGGGGTGGGAATCGCAGGGTACCTCACGGTACGATACGAATCACGATACGATAATATCGCGATACCGCGATTCTGTGATAATCGATATATTGCTAGACAATCCTATAACGATACATCACGATATCGGTCTAACTATGAAAACAAAATGCCTGTGAAAAGGGTAAGTGCAAGTTTTCTCTCTTTATTCAAGCCCAAACTGAGAAAACGGCACAAAAAGTTCTGTAAATCAAATTTAACATGTTAAGTAAATTAATCATTTTATTCTTGGACTTATTAAAAGCTTACACATTTCTTTGTGTGTAAACCAACACACTGCACACTTCTGCGCCGCATTATATAGCCTATATATATATATAAGATAGAAATAACTGACTTAAAATAATTTTTTTTTGTTGTTGGTGAAAATACTTACGGCCTAAGACTTTTGCACAGTACTAATATATATATATATATATACATACATACATACATATATACATATATACACATACATACATAAAATGTTATATATATATATATATATAGATATATATATATTAGGGGTGGGAATCGCAGGGTACCTCACGGTACGATACGAATCACGATACGATAATAGTGGTAAACAGCAACAGTGTAGGTATGAATTTAGATCTTTTGTGTTTAAAAAAAATATCGATACTTGGTGCCAGAGTATCGATAACGTCTCACGGCCGGAAATATTGCGATAAATCGGCACATCGATTTATTGTCCCACCCCTAATATATATATATATGTGTATATATATATATATATATATATATTGGACTTATTAAAAGCTTACACATTTCTTTGTGTGTAAACCAACACACTGCACACTTCTGCGCCGCATTACAGTTCTGACAAGGTTTTGTTTTGTCGTCCATGCCATAGGTGCAGATTTATGTTTCTGCCGGTCGGTGCCCACTGCATAACGCACACTTGTAATATCTAAAGAGAGAGAGAGCATCCAGTTTTGTTGACATAAAAACTATATATATATATATACATACATACATATACACATATAGTATATGTACAGTATTTGTAATTAGCTAAATACACTGCCTGGCCACTTGATTTAAATGAGCAAATACTTCAGTGTCTGGGAGTGGATCATTATGACAGTGATTAATGTTTCTGGCATGTTCCTAACTGATGCAGCATGTAGCTAATTTATTAAACATCCGTGTATGAAGACGGATCCCATATTCTAGGATGACAATGTCAAATTTTAATCGGGCACAAATTGTGCAAGAATAATTCAGGGAGTTCACCACAGAGTCATGACCTTTAACCCCACTGACAGTCTTTAGGATGTGCTGGAGACTTTACTTTTTGTAAATGATATGATCACAGACAATAACTTAGATGTGCTCTGTTTGACAGAAACCTGGCTAAAACCTGATGATTACATTATTTTAAACGAGTCTACCCCCCAAGATTACTGTTATAAACATGAGCCACGTCCAAAAGGTAAAGGGGGAGGTGTTGTTACAATTTATAATAATATTTTCAGTATTTCTCAGAGCTCTGGTTTCAAGTATAATTTGTTTGACGTAATTGTAGTTCAAATGACATTACCTAGAAAAACAAGTGTTAATGATAAATCCCCCTGTGACGTTTCTACTGGCTACTGTATACAGGCCACCAGGGCACCATACAGACTTTATTAAAAGCCTGGAAAATGGAGCGCAGCTTGAGGAAAACAAAACTAGAGGTATTTCGTGTTGCATGGAGGGAAAGTACTTCTACTTATAGAAAAGGTCTAAAAACTGCTTGATCTGCTTACGTTTCGTCTTTCTTAGAAGAGAACAAACACAACCCGTCATTTATTCAATACAGTGGCTAAATTAACAAAAAAAAAATCAGCAGACGCAGACATTTCCCAACAGCACAGCAGTAATGACTTTGAACTTATTTACTTCCAAGATCAATACTATTAGAGATAAAATTGTAACCATGCAGCCGTCAGCTACAGTATCGCATCAGATAGCTTGCTATAGATCGCCTGAGGAACAATTCCACTCATTCTCTACTATAGGAGAGGAAGAATTGTATAAACTTGTTAAATCATCTAAACCAACAACATGTATGTTAGACCCTATTCCATCTAAGCTCCTAAAAGAGGTGCTTCCAGAAGTCATAGATCCTTTTCTGACTATTATTAATTCATCAATGTCTTTAGGATATGTCCCTAAAACCTTCAAATTGGCTTTTATTAAGCCTCATTAAAAAACCTTGATCATAGAGAATTAGTTAATTACAGGCCGATCTCAAATCTCCATTTTCTGTCAAAAATACTAGAAAAGGCAGTATCCTCTCAGCTATGTTCCTTCTAGAGAGAAATGGTATCTCTCAGGATTTTCAGTCAGGATTTAGACCTGCTCTCATTAGAGTTACAAATGACCTGCTCTTATCACCGGATTGTGGTTGTATCCCTCTATTAGTGCAATT